GACGACGTCGCCTCCTTCGGCATCCTCGAAGCCTTCAATCCGTCTCAACACCATGCTCAAGGTACTAATCATCTATCTGAAAATACCCACAAAAAGAAAAAAAAAGAAAAAAAAGAGAACTCTTAAATTTGTTACAAATTTTATATTAAGTGCAGATTGGAGCATGAAGGGGACCTCCTCGGAGCTATCGATGCTTGTGGGCTCCAGCAGCAACAACCAAACCAATGACGAGCCGAGAGCTCGAGATTTCGCTATGGCGGTGTAGCCCACTTAGTAACAGCTGCACTATATATATCAACAGCAGGCAGCAGCAACGCCCGATGAGCTCTCATCACCGGTGGAGGTGCACCAGCCAGGCGCGCCGCACGAACAGGCGGAATCGGGTTATCGATGATCAACGACTGGCTGTTCGGAACCAGCCGGGCCAAATCAGCAAGACTGTTCAGCAGAATGGGGATTTGGCGGGAACCAGCAGTGCTCTGGTGGCTGGCTGCTGGAAACCCTCAGAGCCTGTCGCTTTCGATGAGACCCGGTCGCAGTCGAGCTCGCCGCTGCCGCTTGTGGCAGTGGCTGAGGGGATGGAGTGGCGGCAGAGGGCGGGAAGGGGATTGGCGGGGGCTTGATGCGCAGACAGGAGCGATTGAGGCAGTGCCGAGGAAATCCATTGATACCTTTGGTCAAAGGACTTCGATTTATCGAGGGGTGACGAGGTATAAATTAATCTACTAGTGCATAATCATCATCATCTTATGTAATCAAAGTGGCATTTTTTTGTTAAACTAATTAGATGTCATCTTTTAAACTGGAAGAAGAAAGAATTTCTAATTGATTGGTTTGTTTATTACATTTTTAAATTGAACTTCATATGCTTTTGTTTGAAAATGGGTTTTCTAATTTGGGAAAAGGTTCTCCTTACGTTTTTATTTGATTGATCCATATTTTATAACTCAATTTGCATTTCAAATGTGTTATGTGATACTATAAGTAATTAAAACATATCCATATAAGATTGATAGATTGATTTTTTGAATTGTACCCGAGTATGGTCACATCTTTGTTTCATTGTTTAAAAACTATGTATAAATTCCTTTTATGATCAACATTTTTTTTTTTTACATTTTTTCACAGGCATAGATGGACAGGGAGGTATGAGGCTCATCTATGGGATAATAGTTGCAGAAGAGAAGGGCAAACTAGAAAGGGTAGACAAGGTAAACAAATTTGTTAATAATCAACATTTATCTCTCCTTTTTTTGTCAAGAACTATAGGGATAATTTTAACTTATACACACAAATAGGAATTTACTTCTAGTGTTCAATTCATACTTTGAATTAACTTTTTCTTCCATTTTTGCATGTTATATATTGAAATGAATCTCTTCGGATTCGTTCAGTTTATTTAGGTAAGCTCAAGATGATGTTCTCCATCTCCCTATTGAAGCTTTTGTTCATGATTTTGAGGGAACTAATCATATATTTTATACTTAATCGATATAATCAGGTGGTTATGATAAAGAAGACAAGGCTGCTAGGGCTTATGATTTGGCTGCTCTTAAGTATTGGGGTACTACTACAACTACCAATTTCCCAGTATGTTTCTTTCTTACAATACCCTTCATTGTACAACATTAGAGCTTCGATTTTCTTTGCTTCTGCTTAATTTTGTTCATTGATATATTATTTTGCAACATGTGATATTGTTATCTATCAGATAAGCAACTATGAGAAAGAATTGGAGGAGATGAAACACATGACTAGGCAGGAGTATGTGGCATCGCTTCGAAGGTATATAGGACGTCATTGCTTTTTTGTGGAGATATTAAATGTGCATATATAATGATTGTTTTGACTGAAGTTAAATGGAGCATTTTCGGAAATAATATTTTGTTAGCTAGATCTTGATATGTATTGATTTGATTGCATCTTCTGCAGAAAGAGCAGTGGATTTTCTCGAGGAGCCTCTATATATCGAGGAGTAACAAGGTATATATCAGTTATTGCATCATAGGTTTACTTTTTCTTGAAATTTATTAAACCTGAAGCTTTTCTCTCACTATCTTTCCCTTTGGAGATTAAAGATTTTATGATCAAAATAAAAACTAGAGGTTACAAATACAACAAATTATCTCAGCTTCAACAAAAAAACTTTGTTCATGCCATCTAGAGTTTTATTTTTCACTCCATGCTTTCAATCCTGTTTAATCTAATTATTAGATTTCACTAAAAAGTATATAGCATAGTTTTCTCTATCTATATCTTTTGAATAGTGAATGACTTTTACCAATTGGTTTTATAATTTATTAATATCATGTAGAGACAATTAGAGGTAGGGTAGATCTTTAATTAAGTCTTCAATTCTTGCATGCCCTATCTCTTTATTTAAGTATAAATTTATTTAATATTTCTATCAAGTATAAAGGTTACATTCATTTAAATGGAGCATTGCAGACATCATCAGCATGGAAGGTGGCAAGCAAGAATAGGCAGAGTTGCAGGAAACAAGGATCTCTACTTGGGAACATTCAGTAAGCCCTTTGCCAACCTTTTCAATCATTTTTCACTTCATTAAAATCGATAATCATCACCAAGTGTTACAAGCAATTTTGCTTCTTTTAATCACCACCATTTGAGGAAAGTGACGATTAGCCCATATTCTTATAATAGTAAAAGAGCATGATACAGAAGATAACACTGTAATAAAACTTGATACCGAGAGGTGTACAAGAACATAGTGTTATAATTCCTGTCAAAATTTAAGAATTAGAGTTGTGCAAGTTTGGCTGAATTGTAGAAGTGTGGTTCGGTATAAATTATTAGCCATCTAATATTACAGGCACCCAAGAGGAAGCAGCCGAGGCCTACGACATTGCAGCCATAAAATTCCGCGGTCTGAATGCCGTCACAAACTTCGACATGAGCCGCTACGATGTCAACAGCATCCTTGAGAGCAGCACCCTTCCCATCGGTGGCGCAGCCAAGCGTCTCAAGGATGCCTCCTCCTCTGGCCACACCACTGACACACTGACAAATGGTCGAAACACGGATATCAATGCCCACATTGCCACCTCCCAACTCACCACCGTCGATGGAATAAACAGCTATAATTGGCCCACGATCGCCTTCCAACAAGCGCAAGCCCAACCTTACCATTATTCAAACTACGGCCAAGCCCAAGCTTGGTGCAAACAAGAACAAGACCTTCAACAGCTTCATCTGAACAACAATACACATAACTTCTTCCAACCATACAATTTGATGAGTACTATGGATTCTTCGTCGATGGAGCATAGTACTGGTTCGAACTCCGTTATGTACAACGGGAGTTACAATGGCGGGTATGTGATGCCGATAAGTACAATGGTGGTTGATCAAAGTAATGGGAATCAAGGAAGTAGTAGTTTTGGTGGGGAAAGTGAGAATATATTGGGAGTTAGCGACCCTTACAGTGGTGGTAGAAGTGTTTACTATCCAACAGGTGTTGTTAAGGATAACGGGAATTATGATCAAAATGGTTGGATGGCAAGAAGTAGTAGTAACAATGTTGGAGCTCCTCTCTTCACAGTGTGGAATGATGCTTAGGGTTTAGGGTTTTATGAGAGAGGAGGAAGCAGGAGGGATGGTGGTAATAGAGAAGGATATATATAGCTTAGCTCCTGATTTTGATTCCTTTGTAGTTTAAAGAAGTGAATTAGGTGTTTTTTTCTCCTTTTGTTTTCTTTGTATCCTGTTATTGATTACTGAATTCTAACATATCGGAGTTCATCTGAGGTTTTGTTGGTAATGGCTGTGAGGAGTTAGGAGATGATATTAGTCCTTGTTCTTCACTTGCTGTTAATTTTGGGGGACTTCAGATGACATGAATCCATATAGAAAGGAGCTTTGCAAATATAAATAACTTTATGAATTGTTGAAATGCAACATCTCTCTCTCTCTCTCTTCATGTGCGTGGTGTGTATTGCATGCATGATTTGCTTTTTTATGTTCCATTGATAAATTTTGTATGCAAACTTTGAGCATGCATTTGTTGAATCTTAGTTGATTATTCTATATTATGCCTTTATTTTGGTATTTAGAACTAAGTAAGAGATTTATTTCATTCATTGTCTTTAGCATGTGTTACACTTGCATATGTATATTTACGTAGATTAGTGTTACAATCAATGTTGCTTCCTTTGCACCTTATGGATCTTTATTATACTCCCATGCATGTGAGATTTACAAGTCAAACTCTGAGCTTTCAACAAGTGTGGATTTAAAAATTTGGTCTTCCGAACACAATTTCCATCTGAATGCTTGAAGAATAGAATACCTTTGGAATGTGAATTGGACAAAAGCTAGCTTAATTATAATATCCTCTGTTATCTTATTTATATTTTATATATAAATATATACTTAAAAGTTTAGTCTGACTTCATGTAACTTGTTCTAGGTTGAACTACATAGCCAGCTAAGAAGAGTCAAGAACCAAAAGGAGTCACAAAGGTCCGCTAGTTGGATTGTTTAAGGACAATATAATATTTATTGAACACATGCATCCATGTGGTTGGCAACATTACCTATAGAATTGTGCATGTAAGGGGGTGATAGTCCAATAGTATATAGAGATTGACATGGGTCTTAGAAGCACATTTTGGAGACAGGGCCTATCTTTGTATGACATTTAGAATATATTTCTTACGACACAACTTGATGCTTTAACTCATATATATTTAGGTGTTACTCATTTAATGTTTATGTATTAGATTATGAAAAGTTGAAGATATAAGTGTTACTCTTTCGTCCAAACCAAGAGAAAATTTATATGACTGACTCAATGATTAGAATTGATTGTAATTAACGTGCAACGCTCTAGCATAGGTTAATCTTTGGATCTTTGACTGAACCAATGAGCGGGGTTTTAGAGCTAAAGGTTTAAAGGTGGATGAAATCATGCCTGTTTCTTTGGCAATTGTCCATTTCGTTCTTGAGATTAGATTTGTTGATTGGCCTATATATATATATATATATTGATAAATGAAAAATTTTATTCATCAACCAATATGAAAGAGTATATACATCAAGAATCTCATCATATTTTGTGAGATAACAAAGATTTGTATCTAAAGCTCAAAAGAAAAAAAAACACTGTTTGAGCCTGACATTGTATATTGCTCTATCCATGGATTCCTCAACAATGCACCACCCCACCTGAATTATGCACCAGACATGCTCAAAAAGCACATCAACCAGTTTTTGCATCTCCTGGGCATCTTGCTGCTGTTTGAGTACAACTTTTTTTTTTTTTGGTAAATGAAAAAATTTTATTCATCAACCAATATATAAAGAGTATGTACATCAAGAATCTCATCACATTTGTGAGATAACAAAATTTGTAACTAAAGCTCTATGAAAATCTTTGTTTGAGCTAGAACACAGTATTTTTACTCTTCATGTTGATTCTTCAACAAAAAAACACAACCTGAAGTCAGATATCAGGTGTGTACAACCTGTACATGATTTCCTGCTGGGAATAGCAGAGATCCAGAGATCAGACCATGAGCCAAATACTCCTCCTATGAACTCCACGATGAAAGACAACCACAACCAGTTTCCTGCTCCTGCTGTGCCTGATCATCTTTAGTCTATACACATTTACAATGAGCAAATCCAATCAGTTTCATTCTGCTCCTGCTGTGCCTGATCATCTTTAGTCTATACACATTTACAATGAGCAAATCCAATCAGTTTCATTTTCAGCTATATATGGAGAATTTAGGTTAGTCTATACACATTTACAATGAGCAAATCCAATCAGTTTCATTTTCAGCTATATATGGAGAATTTAGGCAAACAGTCAGAATGTCAACTTTGATCCGTTTAACCAAAATCTCCACAGTCTTATACTTCAGCTGAAAGATTCTCATATTCCTCTCATACCAAAGGTGATAGATAGTAGCCAATAATGTTGATCTCTTAATTTTTTGCTTTATACCTTTCCCCCTTAGCTTAGTACAATACCAATCCAAGAGGGAGTCCCAACTACATGATCTCCGTTTGAAGTGAAGCCAATCCATAATATGGTTCCACACTTCCCTTGAGAAGGAGCATTCAAAAAATAGGTGATTTCAGCTCTCTAAGCACACACCAGTGCACAGCCTACACTGATTTGCACTAACAATCCCTCTTCTTAATAATCTGTCTTGAGTTAACAGTCTGTTGCTAACAGTCAACCAGCAGATAAAAGAGTGCTTTGGATAGCATAAACCTCCCCAAACCATGTTAAACCATGGGACTGAGTTTGATGCAGGGGAGAGAGCACGATATAACTCAGCTAATTTGATTTTTGAATTGTATGAACAGGAGCTAATCATCTTATTCAGATTTTCCACACTACCACTGAATTCCACAGCTTTATCTCTGGCTTTTAATATTTGTTTCCACATCCAAGAGTCCCCTTTCTTTGCTTGTATATGCCAGACATTTCCATTCCTTAGATATGTACCATGGACCCATCTTATCCACAGGCATTCTTTGTTGATGTGAATATGCCAGAGAAGCTTCAATGCAGAGGCCAGGTTCCAAATGGAGGCTGAAAATATCCTCAATCCTCCATTTTTTCCTATCCAGGCACACCCTCTCCCAAGAGACTAGAGGAATTACTTTAGCAGATTGATATTTCCCCCACAAAAAATTTCTGCACAACTCATCAATTTTTTTGAAGAACTCTCATAGGCAGGATATAATTTGATGTCCAGAAAACTTGTATTCCTAATATGGTACTCTTGATTATTTGTAACCTTCCTGCATATGATAATTTTCTGTAGTTCATACAAGACTGAAATTGATCATAAATTTTACTAAATAGAGGTGCACAATCTGTATATGAAAGTCTTTTGCATATGAGAGGAACCCCAAGGTATCTGATAGGCATTTTCCCCTCTGAAAACCCCAAGCAGTTGAAAATAGAGGCTTTAACTGATTCTTCAACTCCACCATAAAAGATTGAGCACTTATTTGAATTTGCTTCCAGACCAGAAACTGCACAAAAATCCCTGAAACACTGATAAAGCTTATTCACTGAATATAGGTCACCTTTAGAAAATAGGAGAAGATCACCCGCAAAGGTTAAGTGAGTTATTTTGAATTTCCTACATCTCGGATGAAACTTGAAATTTATGTCTTCCTTTAACAAGTCCAACCTTCTTGAGAGATACTCCATTCCTAGGATAAAGAGGTAGGGGGAGAGGGGATCTCCTTGTCTAAGACCTCTTTTACCTTTGAAATAACCATGCAAGGATCCATTTAAGGCTATAGAATACTTAGGGGAAGTAATACAAGTCATAATCCATCCTATATATGCATCAGGAAATCCCAGGCCAGCAAGCATTTCCTTGAGGAAATCCCAGTTAATAGTGTCAAATGCCTTTTTAATATCAATATTAAGCATGACTCTTGGAGATATGTGTTGCCTGTTATAGTTCTTAGCAAGCTCATGAGCAAGTAATATATTACTTGAAATTTGTCTCCCCTTCACAAAAGCGTTTTGAGCTTCATTTACTAGGTAACCTGTCACTGATCTGATTCTATTAGCCAAAATTTTTGAGATGAATTTGTATAGGCAGTTACAACAAGCTATAGGCCTGAAATTAGATGGAGTTTTGGGACATTGCACTTTAGGGATCAATGTGATAGTTGTAGAGTTAATTTCCCCCAAAAGTTTACCTGTTTTGAAGAAATCCTCAATTGCCAGTGAGATTTTATCTCCTACAACACCCCAAGCAGATTTGAAAAAAGACATACTATACCCATCAGGCCCTGGGGCTTTATTTTCAGACATAGAGAATACTGCTTCTTTGATTTCTTTTCTGGTTACTGGCTTTGAAAGAGTATTTGCTTGTGTAGCATTCAAACAGGGACCATTGCTGATAATATTTATGTCTGCATTTGCTGTAACTGTGGTTGATCCCATAAGACTCTTGTAAAAAGATATAAGCTCAGAAGTAATCTTCTCTCCATCAGTTAGCTTTTCCCTTGCACTGTTATAAAGCATCAGTATCCTATTCATGTGCCTTTTTAATTTAATTACTGAATGAAAGTTGCTAGTGCATCTGTCACCCTGCACACTCCACAAAATCCTAGCTTTTTGTTGATAAAAAGATAGCTCACAATCCAACAATTTATTGTATAAGGCGATACAATTACTTTCATGCTCAATAAGAGAGTGATTTAGAGGATCAGAGTGCAGATTCCTTTGAGTATCATCAAGTGCCAGTTTTGCTTTGAGAACTTGCTCACTGATGTTGCTAAAGTGCCTTTTGTTTAAATCTTTCAAATCTTTCTTCAGCAGCTTCAATTTTGAATAAACTGAAAACATAGTATATCCCCTTATTTTTGTTTGCCAGATTTTAGATACAGTAGGCTGGAAATTTGTGTGCTTGGTCCACATCTTGAAGAATTTAAAAGGCTTTTTTCCTTGAACATAATCTTCATATATTGATAACAAACCAGGGGAGTGGTCTGAGAAATTCTGTAGCAGATATTCCACATGACTGGAGTTATATTTATGTATCCATGCATCATTAATCAGAGCTCTATCCAGCCTACTCCAAATTCTAAAATTAGAATCTTGCTTATTGTTCCATGTGTAGAAACAGCCTTCAGTTTTAAGATGAGAAAGATGACAATCTTCAATGAAATCCCTGAAATCTCTGGTATCTGCCTCTGAAAGAATGGCCCCTCCTAATTTTTCTTCATTACCAATTATTGCATTGAAATCCCTACAC